GTTTTAATTTTAAAAATGTGTAATTATTATACAATGCATGACAAATGTAAGGAATGTACACTTAGTAAATATGATAGCAATCATAAAAGAAATAAATTAAAAGGACAGTGCATTTCAAAGAGAGACAATGTGGTGAAAACCATTTAAGCAGGGTAACAACGCAGGAATGTTGTTCACTTCAAGGCGAGGTAAGGCTGGCATTTGCCACAATATATATTATTGAATTCCTTACATTACTTTGCTTCTTCTGATAAATTTTCATATCAATAAATGTACTTTTCATTGCCAATAAGAATGTGATCTTCAATTTTTTCCAAATCCCTTTCCCTAATTTAGGTCAAAACCGCTAAGATAATAGAAGAATCAGTAACAAAATGTTAACCTGTTGATGCTTAGGGCCGAGCCCCATCAACCCTCCCCCTTGGGCAGCGCCCTAAGGGCACATCCACCCACGGCTAATTATACTGTTGAAAAAACAAAAACAATAATAATAATAATAATAATAAAGAAAAATAATAAATAATGATAACAATGACACAATAATAATAATGCTAATAAAAATAACAATAATAATAATAATAATAATAATAATAATAATTAATAATAATTAATAACTATAATAACAATAATAATAATAATAATATTATTATTATTATAATAACAATAATGAAATAAGCAATAAAACAATAGCAATAATATTAACAACAATAGCAATAAAAATAACAATAACAATAATAATAATAATAAATAATAACAAAACAATAACAATAATAATAATTAATATAATAATAATAATAATAATAATAATAATAATAAAATAATAATGATAACAATAACAATATAACAATATAATAATAATAATAATAATAACAATAATTATAATAATAGCAATAAAAATAATAATAACAATAATAATAATAACATAATAATTACAACAACAACAACAACAAACAACAACAAACAACATAATAATATAATAATAATAATACATAATAATAAATAATAATAACAATAAACAATAATATAAAATAATAATAATAAATAATAACAATAACAATAATATTAAAATAATAATAGCAATAAAAATAACAATAACAATAATAATAACAATACTAATAATAACAACAATAATAATAATAAAAATAATAATCATAATAATAACGATAACAATAACAATAATAACAATGGGGCAAAGCAAGGGAGGTCAGGCAGGCCTACAAATTAACACCTTGGTAACTAAGCCCTTGCGTCTAGTCTCCCTCCTTCAGAAATTCTAAAAACGTCAATTGGAAAGTATGGAGTTCGGTCGATATAGCCCTGTATAATCATTTCTCTGGTAATTCTTGGACCTTGGACCTCATTCGCAGAGATGCTTCAATTAATGCCAATTAACCCCGACCTCTTATATTTGACAAGCCAGATTAGCCTGATTCCTTATCGGATGGCCAATCACCAGGGTAGTCCACAACCTCTTGTCACAGTGGAATACACCTTACACCAGAGGTTGGCAACCTATGGCACGACTGCCAGACGTGGCACACGTAGTGCTTGTCTATGGCACGCCATGTGATTCAGAGGAGCAAAGAAAAAGTTAAACAGCAAGATAATATGGTGAGTATAAATCTAAAATTATAAAACATATCTATTTTTCTTTACAAAGAATAATAAATGCTACTAAAATATTACATTTGTGTTATGCATGTGTAGGAAAATACATCTGGGTATACAGTGCTGAAAAAAAAACTGGCACGCAAGGTTATGAATAAGAAGGCATTAATCATCAACTGGCACATTATGTTCAAAAGGTTGCCGACCCCTGCCTTACACTGTGAATATTTGTTGCACCTTTGTTGGGATCACAAAGTCACAAAGGCAACAAGAATTACTTTAGTCACTACAAGTTTATCTTTGATTAGCAACTACAGGCCCATTTTCTGCAGTATGTTTTCTATGCCAAACAGCTAGTTTGTTAAGATAGTATAAGGTCTGACCCAATGAATATTCATACGTACTGATATGCATATACAACCTACAGAAATAAAAGCATATCTGTTTTTTTATCTCAGAGATATACATTCATCTGTCCATCTGTTAGGTAGATATGCATGTTTGTATAATGTATACTCATTGGGTTCGGCCTCGCACAATTTTAACAAACCGGAAATAAGTGCTGTTTTAGGTGTTTAGTTTTTCTCAATCTTCTTGTAAACCTCATTTCAAATTTTGGACAATCTATAGTTTCTCCCAAGCAATGATTTTCTGAATTGTAACTTTCTGCTGATACGTAGAGTTCTTTGATGGATTTTTCATCAGAATATTTCATTTCATAAAGGTCAGGTCAAGATAGGTCAGGTTGGCTAGATGTAGCAGATCACTGGCAACACTGCTAAACTCCCCATGGGCGCTGCTCCAGCTACTGCCGCCCTAAGTGTAATGCTCATCTCTTCAGTGATTTTCTGATGAAATTTGGTTTATTTTCAACTTCAATTGAAATACATTT